TTATTATTATTATTATTATTATTATTATTATTATTATTATTATTATTATTATTATTAACACTTTCAAATCATGCTTTATAGATTATTATTGAAGTTTCTACACAGACTAAACTCCTGAATTTATGACTTTTTATGACAGAACAAGACCTAAATATTAAGAAAATATGTTAGTACACGTAAATAATACCTGAGATCTACTAATCTTGGGTTTAGGGTGGAAATTCAACGTCCACATTAACAAAACAAGCACTGTCCCACACCCAAACTGGAATGCTGTTACTGTTAATGCAAATGGATAAACCTTCAGAACCTGTAACCAACTATTTGCTATTACAAATATTATAAATCATGTTATTAAACAAATATGTATTCGGGACGACACTGTAAATCCTCCGGTTATCTCTACATTAATGTAATTATTCAAAACAACTTTAGTTCAGCTGTCCTTGTTCGACTTCTTTTACTGATATCACACCATTCTTTTCTAAGTGTCTTTTTCGAAGTAAGGAGAATTAAAAGAAAAAAAGAAAAATTAAAGGATCAAATAAATAAAGACAAACAGAAAGAAGAAAAGGGACCTGTTTGTTGTAAATGTTGAAGTAGATGTTTAGTAGATACCATACTGCAAACATTGATCCAAGCTGCAAAGTCTTGAACACGCCATTGCTATTTCCAGCCTCACTTACACTTTCAGGAACTGCGGCCGATGACTTAACCTTGAACTCGAGTGATGTTTGAGTCTCAGACAACGATGTCGAGCATTTTTTATTAAAACACCAAGTAGAATATAGAGAGACAACATTATGGGACGATTTGACGAATGATTTTGTAGAGTTACCACGCAAAACTGCTCTATATTCGTTGCTGAATCTGTAGCTGATTTTTCTAAATGGAATTTTTGTAGACTTGGTGACTGGTTTGAAAGGAGATAGAGCCAATGCATAGTTTTCCATTTTTCCTTTTCTTCCCGATTCTTGTCAAGAAAATTAATTGATCGAACGTGTTGGCCTTATAAAATTCATGTTTGTACTTGTTTAAATTGACGGCTGGCATTGTTCCATGGGTCAGAATGACTTGGTATTAAGGAACTGTTCCAAGTGTAAGACATTTTTTCATGTTTCCTGTCTAATTACTTTATGATTGACCAAATATTGAAAATTTAAGGTAATAAGTTCGATGAAATCCAACCTAAAAGATTATTTCGTTCTTGATAATTATTTATTTAATTCGTGAATAGNTTCTAAATAGAAATTAAGAGAAAGAAAAATAAGAAAACGGGAGTACTTAAATGTAAATATTATGATAATAATAAATGTTTTCTCTGTGTTTTTTATAAACCTCAAGTGATGTTTCTGTAATTTACTCGTTAGGTGAGGAGTATGTTTCATTGGACTTAGTGAGCTGGCTCCTCTTTATGCTTGGAAGCTTATGGTTTCATATTTTATTTCACTCCTCAATGAGGGTTTTTTTTCACCCTTCTCTTATGGTAATACTTCGCTATGGCTATAAAGTAGTTCTTAATTTCTTAAATAATTTATTAATCAATAAGTAATTTTGAAAAATAAGTAATTTTAACTTCGCTTTAGTCACAATCAAATGTTGTCAATGTTATTTAATATGGTAGCATAGCAAGAAAAGGGTCCGAGTTCAAGTTTCAGTGTTACTCATTTTTAAAAGAAATTTGTCTTAGATATTGATTAATAAAAAATGAGTATTGTGCTAAAGGTGTGTTAAATACATAAGCTAAAAAACGAAAATATGCGTCACTTTTAGAATGGTGAATACACTAGTGGAGTTTGTGCAATAATAGAGAAGTTTGGATTAGTACTATGTGGTGGTTATGGTTTTGGACCATTTCACTTTGATGATTTTGTGTTCCAAATTTGCTCAACAAAAAGGTGTGGCATGGGATGCTTCCTTCAAGCCGCCTTTGTGGACCTTAACCAATACCTCCGTATGGGTGAAGATGACCATTGTCTGTTCAAATTGGCCTTTTCATAGGAGTCAAAAATGGCAAATAACATGCCGACGGTTTTAGGTTATTAAGGCGGTCCAGAACTTATCCAAACCTTTTTTTTTTTTTTTCTAATTTTTAAATGGCATAAAAACATTTTTTGTCTCCTGAGCTAAAATTCACTATGTTAGTCGCTCTATCGGACACTCTACAATATAAGGATGATTGACAACATTCGAGTGTTAAATTTAATGCCAATTGATGTGTGATAAAACCTAAAATAATAACTGTTAGAATTCATCGTTTTGAAATTAGAAGTTAATTCAAAATTCACTTCGTTTAACCCTTTTTTATGCAACGGAAAAAATTAACGACATCTAAAGGGGTGAATTTGATAAAAGATAAGTGACTAATAATGAGCAAAAGATGTTTGTGATCATTTGCGACATGAATGTAAGTTGATTGCCACATATTTAATTCATTCTTAAACAAATTTTTTTTCATGCTTTTCCCGAAGGTCTGGAGAAAGCTGCAATCAAGAGGATTTCCCTAATCCTCAAACAAAAATACCACCACCAGTATTATTATTATTATTATTATTATTATTATTATTATTATTATTATTATTATTATTATTATTATTATAATAAATTTTGGCGTCCCTAAATCATGAACATTTTGACGATAAGGTTCCAAATCCATTTTTGGCAACTTAGTTCCCTTACCTAACTTATGAGGTGACTGTTAGCCTTAGTTAAAAAATAAAATAAAATAAAAATTGTTAATTTGACAGTTAAAACCTATTTTGGTTTAAAATAACCACTGTACCTTTTGTTTGAATTAAAACAAAGAAATAATTGTTCAAAGGTTCGGAGACTAGCAGGAAATTTTCCTAATAAAAACTATTATTATACAAAAAATTGTCGGGAAAAAAAAATAAAAAATAGGAAAGATTATACACAAGAACTGAATTGCAAAATTAGAGAAGGATATTAGTCGTTTAGTGTCACAGCCACCAATGCGCATACCGCCAATGACACAGTTTGGCACGGTATGTTATCAGGTATACTCAACCAGCCAGTCAAGTTGTCTCGCCTTCACGACCTTCATATATATGGAAAGAATTTGCAGTATACTTTAACATAAATTTCAGTTCAAGATTCTTACTTGAAAGAATGAGAATTTCAAAATCTTGATTTTTCAGCACTTCTATGGTCGTAATCTCAATAACAATTGAAGAAGATTATTATCCACAACCAAAGCACCAAATTGTGAGTTTCCATGTCAAAAATATGGTTCGAGGCACATTTCAATTTTATTGTAATTTTCTATGTGAATTTCACCATTTCTCCCTTCTTTTACTTTCATCTCTTGTCCTAGACAATTATTGGAAGTTAAGGGAAGTTGAATAAAGGTTGACGGAAGTTGTGAGTTCGAAATCAATTCAAACAATTCTCTACAATTCACTTTAATGTTTTGCGGGTCACATTACTCCACATGGGCGACCCACACCCACATGATGAACTTGACCTGAACTGTAATTGACAACAAATATCATACATTAAATCATTTTCAAGGTCTATCACACAAAAAAATTTATACGACAAATAGGTCTTGCAACCAAAAAGTACATATTTGAGCTGACGGTATAAACAATTTAGGGGTATATGTTAGCTCTACTAGAGGAACATCACATCTCACTACATCTGAAAATCATTTTCCAATTAATTCTAGTATTTTCAACTCCTCAATTTTTGGCGGAACATACCTTAACTCCACATTATTTTTTTTTTATTCACAATTGTGTTTTACACCTTAAATGACTAACATAATAATCTGGCTTGTGAATACGAAAAGAAATGTTGGTCAAAATGGTTTTCTTTTCCTACTTGAATCCTTCAAATTTTAAATCCACTACTTTCCCACAAGTCCCATCAAATCGAATTAATCATAATAATTAGTAACATGCTAACGTGGCAACGCTAAAATGAAATCTTGAAAAACAATCAAAAGGCATAAGGATGTATATGAGGTTATATAAACATCAAAGTTTCACACAATAAGGAAGCGGGGATTTGTTCATTCATTTACCAAGAATCGTGAAGTTTTGACAGCCCCTCTATCATTAGATTAGAATATTTCCTTATAGTTCAAATAGGTATTTAAAGGTTCATTACTTTAGTTTAGGGCCTTAGTTTGTAACCATGATTGAAAATTCGTTGACCCACAGGAAATATTTGCCGTAAAAGCACACATTGTATGAATAAGTGCTACGATATTTTCTCCACTTTAAGGCGTATGTCATATTCTTTAAAAATAGATAAAATCATACGAATCCTAGTTTAAGTATTCCCTAGTACTTAATTTGAGTTCTTATATTCAATCCCCCAAGTAATCTCAATCAACTACTAAACAGGTTTAATGGATAACATAATCCATTCGATTACTTACAATAATTTCATCTTATTTTATCAATGTGAGTGGACCATGTACATGACACAATCACTTTGTCTCATCTTAGGATATCCTAAAATTTTTTGAGGTGATTATTCATGTGAGTAGGTCAATCTCAACTTGTTTGACGTACTTTATATGTGTATATAAATCATAATCTGATAATCACAATAATAGATTATAGATGAAATAAAAATTGTTCATCTATTGCATATGAAACTCAATCAAGAGTTTTCAATTGCACAAAATATCATATTCTATACAGTTCTAGAGGTTTAAAATTACCAACAAATATGTCTCTAGACATCTTAAAAGTATGATGATTACATATCATCATTTGCATAGGTATATCACAAAGACACTTTCTTACCTAATGTCTCTCGTAGAAATATCAATGAGTGTTTGATTCCATCATAATACTTGGGATCCTCATACATGTGATAGTTACTTAATTATCATGGATCTCATATTTGGAACCAGTATTATTATATATTCAATACATCTATTCCAAACAATTTCTTATAATGCTAAGATATATACTACAAGATCTTCCCTTGACAAGTTACAAGTTATTCCCTCAATAACAAATGCAATAACTAATAGAACCCTTTAAGTGTACATTGGTAAATACAGACTGCATCCATGGCATGATAAGTGTTAGAGAAAGTATACACCATAGCATACTTCAAACATCTAACCATATTGGATTATGGTTCTTTGGATTTTTGTGTGCTCATAAAGTCCTTGGACATACATGAAAATTCTATGTTTAGGGAATGGGGTCAAAAAGTAATGCTAAAATGCAATCTTTAGTTTCGAGATTCTAAATGCCATGCCCATCTCCATGTTCGTACATGTATTGCGCCATTCTACCAACATTTGCTGCAATTGCAATAAAAGCTTTGAGTCTGCAGCAATTTGTGTGTGGAGCTTCATTCAATTTTTTTCCACGTCTTGTGTATCAAAAACTTGAAATGTTTTGCGTGCTTCGTCTTCGGAAGCACCAATTTCATTCATGTAGCATTTTATTGATTTAAGAATGTCACCTCTTTTCAACTAGTCTTGTATTAAGAAAACGAAATAAAAGAACAATTAGTTAAAACACAATATAAGTAGATGTTGAAGGTATAACTTAAAAAACAATGGGCTTATAAACATTAGTATAATTATGGCTTGCAACATATTTACTAATGATGTTCCTAAATCATCGGCAAGCCTTAAAATGTTTGCGGGTCGGTGAATTAAATCGAGATAACTTTGCAAGTACTGAACGGCCTCCTCCTCTATAGGATTGGTAATAGATAAAAAAGCATTTAATGGTGTCATTGGAGCTCCAATTGAAATATATGTAGTTTACACTTTGCTTCTTGTAAGTACGCTTTACATAAATCTGTCCATTCTCAATTCCTGCAAAGCACATCAGTATATCTATATTCCCTATCGTACCTTACAATAATTGTTATGAAGTACTATCTGTTTGAGTGTTTCTCTCGAAATCAATAAAATTCACAATCAATCCAATTAGTGATCTAGTAATTGAAAAGTCATTAAATCATATAACAATGATTCAAAAATAAATACATATTGAACGTCAAATTATTGAATTTAAA